AGCCACACTGGCAGAAGCAGCCCAGGCTAGTTACCCCAGCATCAGTCCACCTCCCTGCCCTCACCACAAAGCCTGATGCTCTGGGCCCCAGCCACAGATGCCTGGGTTCTGTGCTCTGCCTGGGAGGCAGTGTCCCCTAGTGGTTAGCTGAGCCCTGCACAGCTGAGACCTGGTACCTCAGAAGACCTCTCTGCTGCCTTCTCCCTTGGCCTGCACCCTAATCCTGCTTCTCTGTCCAGCTCCCCTTCCCAGGATCCCTTTTATCACTCGCTGCCTTAGTTCCATATCATGACCACTGCCCTCTGTCACAGATAAACCCAGCAAGTCCTGCAGATGAATACACAGCTTTCAGGGAACACATCAGGCTGAAGCCCTGAATGGACCAGCCTGGGCATTCCCTGGAGAGGAATATCAAGACAAGTCATAAGCTCCAGTCCCCATGCAAACGCCTGAGGTCACCTGCCAAGGAGTCTGAAGGCAGCCCTGTTCTTCTGCCCATAAGTTTCTCATTCCTGTCCTTCCTCTAGTTCACCCTTCCTAGCCTCCCTCGGACACACCCTCCCCAGAAGCCTCCTTCACTGAGCCTTCCAGCTTGGGGGTGCATGATTGAGGCCCCACACTTGGCTACCAGGTAGCCCAGGGAACTGGGTTTTGTTATCATTATTGTTTTGAGACAGGGGCTCTCCCTGAGGAGTCCTGGCTGACCTTGAACTATGTAGCCCATGCTACCTGGAATTTTCTGAAATCCTCTTGACTCAGCCTCCCGAATGGTAGGTTTACAGACATGTGCCATCATGCCCAGCTTTGAGACTGCCTTTTCTATTTGTTTATTTTTTAGAAGAGTCTCACTATGCAGCTCTGGCTGCTCTGAAACTCACAGGAAGGACTCTTGTCCCAGAGCCCAAGGCTAGCCTCAATTCTCCTAAGTAAGTGAATGAATGAAAGAATGAATGAATGACCTGGAAAGAAGGGAATAAGAACAGAGGAATGGAGGTGTCTTAGTCTCAACCTCCCTTCCCTGGGACATCCCCAAAGTCCTCTCCCCATGCTCCCTACCTCAGGCTCTGTGGAGTGAGGACACACACAAACCCCCACAGTGGAAGCCCCAGAGCTAGGGCTGTGGTGAATCCAGCAAATATATTCCACAAAGCAAGTAGAAGCCCCAGAACCCTGACATCATCTTGAGAGTGATGAACCCTGGGGAGCATCTAGGCTCTGGGGGCCACAGGCAAGAGGCAGTAAACAGAATCCTCCCGGCACACAGGCAAACACAAGCCTGCACAGGGACAGCTATCCAGGACCCTCTGTGGTCAAGCTGCTGCCCAGGAACACCAGGCTAGCCAGGGGTAGCAGTATGATGGAGGTGCTGTTCTTTCCTTTGTCCACGCCGACCAACCAGTCTGCCTCTCCTAAGCCCTCAACAGTACAGAGTGACCTCACCCTATAGCAAATGTCAGAATGCAGCTGCCCAGGCCCAGGACAGAGCCAGAACTGACAAGTCAATCTGGGTTCTAGGGGAGGTATGCCCTGGCATAGATACAAGAGCAACACCCAGGGCTGAGTCTCACACTACCCACACCCATCCAGAGTCCTGCGCTCTCTCTGCTGGAAGGCTAAGACTAGCAAAGTTTCCCTACTGTCCAGGGAAGCCTTAGGACCCTCAGCCATGCCTACACCCTCACAAAGCACAGCTCATGAAGGGCCTAACTTGAAACCCCTCTTGTTGCTCTTGGATCTTCCCACTGTTACTTGGACTGTGAGGTACTGATGGAGAAAGCCCTTGCCAGCAAGAGGCGCTGGTGACTGTGATAGGGGATCTAGTAGTCCTGTCTGCTTCCACGGGGCCTAAAGAAGCTAATTATAAGTACAGGCCCACAGCGAAGGAAGGAATGGACTACAGGGGATCCATGTTACTAGGCATGAACTCTGCTGGAGACCAGCAAATTTTACCTCATGGTGGGTGCCCCAAAATAGGCTCTGTTATTGCCACACTTCCAGGATGAGAGAACCCAGGGCCACAAATGTCAGTCTTGCTGAAGGCCAGCTGGCTAGACAAAGGAGTCCTCCCCAGGAAACACCTAGGTCCTCAGGACCCTGAGCCAGCATCCCAGTGTTCCAGGGACATAATCAACTCGTATGACAAGATGTTTGATGTCATTTCCAGATCCTGGAATGAGCCAGCCCACCAGGACACCTCCTGGCACAGCCCCTGGAAAGTCCTATCTCCAAGATCAGGCCACTTTGCAGTCCTGACTAAGGTGCTAAGATTCAGCTAGGAAGGGGTGGCCAACAGGTCGCCAAACCCTAAGGGGCATTCAGTGAAGCCCCTGCCCAGCTCCCTGCCACTGTGGCTACCTGTAAGCCACCTGCCTGCACAGAAGGTGGCTATGCCCAGCTATCCCCAGGGGCCTGGTTATCAACATTCCCTTCCACCAAAGCTTCTACTTTTGTGTTGTTTTGTTATTTTCAGGACAGGGTTTCTCTGTGTAGGCCTGACTGTCCTGGAACTCACTCAGTAGACCAGGCTGGCCTCAAACCCCCAGATCTGCCTGTCTCTGCCTCCTGTGTGCTAGGATTAAAGGTGTGTGTCACCATGCTTGTCTAAACATCTACTTCAAGTTAGCCACTGCTCTGGGCCTCTGGAGGCAGGCAGCCAGCTCAAGGCCAGCTTCGTATCTCTTAGACACCTGAGGATCAGGTCCACCTAGTCCTCCAGGCCCTCTGACTAACTCTAGACTGACATCACTTTCCCAGGCTTTTTTGTGTGCTGTCCTCCCCTACTCTCTCATTCTCAGTGTCACAGTGCCCATCCCTCCTCACAGATCGTGGCTATACCTTCCTTGACTTGACAGGCAGGTTCCCAGAAGGGAGGCTGCAGGCCTGGATACATGTGTAGCAAAGTAGCACAGGCTGGGCCACTAGATTTCAGCCTGTGTAGAGCTGAGTCTCCAGGCCAAACCTACCTGTAAAGCCTTGGCAGCAGGTGAATGGTGAAGAGGCCCTCCTGCCTCTGCTTCCTCCCTCTAAACAACCCAAGTGATCTCCCAGGGGCTTCGTGGGGCTCTGAGGGAGACACAGTGGCTAAGGGCCAGCATGTAGCTAGAGGAATCTGGCCCCTTAATCTTCCAATATCTCTACAGATACCTACTCTGCCCTTACAGACCTCTGAGCCCAAGAGCAGAGCCATTAAAGACTTGTAAAGTAGTCCCTGTCCCCCAATTAAGGTCCAGGAAGTAGTTATAACAGGCCATTTATAACAGGAATAAAAATACTGAGGTGTATGGAGGTAGAAGGATTTGCAGCCAAGGTGTTGGACAGTATTGATGCATGGACCCTAGTAACGACATGGACTAAGCCTAGGTGAAGTCAGGCCTGCCATCATCTTCGTGTGGGCTGCAGAGTCTACCCTGCCTGGCTTCCACTCTGCTGGGGAGGTTCTGCCTTAATCTTTCTGAGAACTGAGGTGGGATGTGCATACCTAGTTTCTCCAACCCCTTCCTCTCTCCCCTACACACACACTCAAAAAGCAAGCCTGTCTCACCTCCCCCCTGGCCTATAGCCCTTCAACCTCAGCTCCTGCCCCTCAGACCTCCCAGGGACCCTCTCAGCCAACCTAGCTAGGCAGCAACTCATCCCAGGCCTGGCAGCCTGGGCCATTTCCATTTTAAACCTTCAGAGGAAGCCCTGAGCAGTCGCCCACGGCAGGCACCAGCTGACAGGTGATGTTTGTGCCTCTCCTCCTGGGGCTGGCAGGAAGACACGCAGTTGGCTTTCAACTCTAGAAACCTGAGCCTGGAGCCCCTCTGTGCAGCCGCCTTCCCCGGTGTTGGCAGGGAGAGGAGCCCCAGCCCACATCCCTCTGCCAGGAGCGGCGGAGGTCCTGGGTCCTGCCTTGCCCACGCCCCCTCTCCTACCCAGACAGCCTCCCCCAACTCCTAAGCTACCTAGAGGTGGGGAAGGGTGGGGCTGGTCTCCATCCTCCAAAGGATGCAAGGGCGGAGATGAGGCAAGGGTGGACCTTGTCACCCCTCACCTCTATTCCTGTGCCTTAGCTTTATTTATTCACATCAGACCTTTCACTTGAGCCTCCGGGGCCTGGCATACCCCAGCTGAGCTGTGTTCGCTCTTAACCACACGCCCGGGAGAGCCTGGAAGCCCTCCCGGGGCCCCAGGAAGCCTGGAGCAGCTCCCTGATGTCGCTGCTGCTTCACAACTTTGTCCTCCCCAGAGAGCTCTGATCTACCACGGCTCCCTGCAGCTGGGCAACAACGCTCCCCAGCCTTCCGCCCCTGGGCCTCGGATCCCCACGAGGAGGGGCGTGCTCGCGGTCTGTTGCCTCCTTGTCTAGGGAGCTTGGGGGTGGGGGACCCTGCGTGCGCCCCCAGCCCGTTAGTCTCTCTGTTCCACCTTTGCAGTCGCCAGGTGCACAGTCTCAGCCCCCGCCAGCATCAGGCTGCCAGTCCACAGCGCGCGCAGGGAGGGAAGTTGGAGGCTGCCTATGCCCCCCTTGAAGTCGTTTTAAAAATAAAACCTCGCTCTAACCGTGACTCACGCGGCTAGTGGGGACAGGAACGCGGCGCCGGGGCCGGCCGGCTGCCCTCGCCGCACGCGCCCCTCACCCTCCTTTTCCCGGGTGCCGGGCAGGAGCAGGGACTGACCTGCTCAACCCGGCATCCCCCTCGGGCCCGGTCGACATCCCTCCCGGGCGCAGCCAGGGCTCGGCTCTGGGCTGCAAGCGAGCCCCCGCCCTTTCCAGCCTCCGCTCCCTGGAGCGGAGCCGCGGACCGCGAACCCCGCGCCTCCCCGCGGCGGGGCCAGCACCACCCGCGCTGGGCTGTCGACTCCCGACCCCTCTACACCCCGAATCCCAAAAGATGTACGTCTCCCGCCACACCGGACCGACTCGGGCGGCGAGATCCGGCCCGATGCGTGCAGCGCGGCCCCCGCCCCGCGCGCCCCAGTGCCCCGTCCCGACCCCCGGCCCGCGCAGCTTGCCTTACCTGCGCAGCAGCCGGGGAGGCGGGTCTCCTCGGGAAACTTTGCGGCGACGGCTGGAGCCTCAGGGGTTATTCCAAGAAGCGGGCGGGAGCCCCAGCCGGAGGGCACCTAGGGGGACCTGGGAGAGGAGCCCCCGGTGCGCGACGGAGCTCTGTGGCGGGCCCGGGGCGCGGGGCGCGCGGCGGCGCATCTGCCCGGCGAAGCGGCGAGAGGAGTGCGCGGGGTAGCGCGGGGTGGCGCCGGGCGGCGGGGTGCGTGTACACGGGCGGGTGCGCTCCGCAGGGCGAGGGCAGCGGCGGCGGCGGCGAGCTGGGTGCAGGGAAGCAGGCTGTGCGGCCGCCTCTCCCCTCGCGGCGGCGGCGGCGGCGGCGGGGCTGTGCGTGCAGCGCGGAGCGGGGAGGGCGGGAGCGGAGAGGGAGGCGGCGGGCGGGGAGGAGGCGGCGGGGGCGGGGGCGCCGCGCTGCGCACTGGCCGGCGGGACCCGGAGCGGGAGGCTGCGCCGCCGCGCGGGGATTCTGGCCCAGCCCGGGAGAAACGGCGTCCGCGCGTTCCCCTCCTCCAAGCCTCAGCTAAAATGTCTGGGATGGGGGGCGGGGGAAGACGAGTTGGGGAGCTGATTCCGCCCCCCAGGGACTAGGGGGAGGGAAGCTCCCAACACCAATCTCCAAGGCTGGAGGAAAGGTGTCGAGAAAAAGGGATTCTGGAAGGGTGTCAAGAAAAAGGGGTTCTGGTTCAGGTACCTCCTCCCCCCACATCGATCCTCTCAGCACCCACTCATTCATCTATTCATATTCATTCATTCTTCTGTCCACTTGAGCATTCATTCACAAACAGAACCCACCGCCTACTCTGCGAGCTCAGGTAACTCCAATTTCTCTCTCTGCCAGGTGCCCCTTCTGGCTCAGACCACCACTCGCTTGCAGCCCCTCCTGCACAGGCCCTCTCTAAACCCTTTGCTTTTCTGAGTATGGGGGCTAGATTGGGTTAGATGCCCTCTTCCCCTCCCCAAAGGCTAACCTTTGAACAACTTAGGTACCCTCTCTAACCCTGTTGGGAGCATTAGCCACTGGACTTCCGAAGAGTCGAGGAGACCCACAACAGTAACGTGGTCGGGCAGAATTGACACACATTAGGGTCTCAGAGAAAGTTGTTCTGGGGGCCCAAAAGGTGGATGGACCAGACAGTTATTTGTTTGTTTTTTCGAGACAGGGTTTCTCTGTGTAGCTTTGGAGACTGTCCTGGAACTAGCTCTGTAGACCAGGCTGGCCTCGAACTCACAGAGATCCACCTGTCTCTGCCTCCCCAGGGCCACCAATGCCCGGCGACCAGACAGTTATTTAGCAGGGAGAATACCCAGATGTTGCAATGGGAACACTAACATCTCCCACTGTCCAGCCTCACCTGCCTGGTGCAAAATTTGTCACCTTGTGACAGACTTGGGTTGCCCCTTCAGACTTAGTTTCCCCTTTGGTGCTAGCTACTCTTGAGTGAGTCCCTTACTCTGCTTAGACCACGTGTGAGTTTCCCCACAGCTCCCAGGCCCACCCCTAGGCCTCCAAAATCTGGGGCTTCTCCCAGCAGACCCACTCCAATGTATTCAACCCCACCATCCCAACTCTAGAACCTTCCACAAGTCCAGCCCAACCTACACTTTGTTGCCTCCCAAGGCTTCCCAGGCCAACCTTCCCTTGAGATGCCCACCATCACCCCTGAGGGAGGGTTTGCTGCCTGCTTTCTTGCTCTCCTGAACCACTTCCCGGGCTGCCTGGGGCCTGGTGGAGTTTGGCCACCTCTGCCCCCTGCCCCCAGTGCTGTGCTTGCCCTTCCCACCCCTCCTCTTCACCTCACAGCTCCCCGCCCTCCTTCCCTGGATTTGCACTCAATTCACTGAGCAGCTATTTTTTTCTCCCAATTTTTATTTATCGCCCAAACAGCATTATACCGACAATAAAGAAAGGAAAAGAAATCACCCACAATGCCACCTCCCTGTGGCGTCAACAGCTCCCTCCTCTGCTCCCTTCCAGGCTTGTCCAGGCACAAAGCTGGCTATAATTTTCACAGAACTGTGGTTTCCGTTCCGCCTCCCCAGACCCCCAGATGGGCTCTCGGGGCCCCAGGGCTCTGTCTCTATTATCCCTCCATCATGTCACTTAGCATGTGGCTCAGGAACTCTGTGTGTGTGTCTTCCTCTTCTACTAAACCAAAGCCCCCTTTACCTCCCTGCTGCCCCATGTCAGGCACCAGGCTGGCGCCAAGCTAGCCCTTGGCCTTGTACTGGCGTGGAGAGTTTGGATGGAGCTTGACTTGACACATCACACTTGGATTTCAAAACATCACCATCATAATTGTGGCTTTAATGACTGTGTGATGTTCCTCTCAGCTGATAGGCTATAACTCACTTAGCAATATCTCCTGCACAATTCAGGGACTATTGGGGGAAGTCCACTGTGCTGGGTACTACTGCTATACCAGGGTGACCATCATGAACCAGGATGCACTGAATGAAAAGCTGGGATTCTCTGTGTGCAGCACATAGTCATGGCTGAGCAAGAGCTGTCTGCAACAGGCTTCCCCACGTGACCCCAGAGACTAGGGCTAAGTCAGCTGAAGCACCAGAAGGCTTCCTAGGGGCAGTGGTTGTTGTCCTAGGTTTTGAGGGATCTAGGAGAAAGGTTCCAGATCAGGTGCAGCTGGAGCCCACTGCAGCCATGAATGCCGTACTGGGAGTGCCTGGGTGTCACTGAGCAAGAGCTCTTGGCTGGAGCTAGGGGTCAGAGTCAGAGGGACTGTGATGAAGACGATGATGATGGCAGCTAGGCCTGGTGTGCAGGGTCTGGGATATATGGAACTTCACTCTGGAAAAAAAGTAGGGCATCAACCAAAGACTGTAACTCCAGGACAATAAGACTGTCCTCTGAGATCAGGAAATATAGTTTGTTCAGTCAACAAATACTGGCTGAACCATTGCATTCTTTAGGCTACATGAGAACACAGAATAATGGCAACAGATAGAGTTAGTCCTATGAGCTGGGCCCTGGTGGGAGGCTCTCAGCCAGCAACACTTTGTGGCCTCAACCTTGAGCTAGACAAGCCCCAGCTCCTCCACTCCGCTCCGAGGGAGGCAATATCCAGAACAATGTCCTGAAGCTCAGAGTGGGCCCTCCCACTGGGCAGCAAGGTCAGCCTGGCCCTGCCTGCAGCCTCCCCCACCCACCTCCCAGCCACCACCTACTCTCTTAGGGGGTGTGGCTTCTGTCTGCCACCGGATGGTTCAACAGCCAGTGACCCTCAGCACCGTCCCATCCTCCAGTTATGCCTCCAGCTTCTTATGCTAACGGGGCCGTCACACTTCCTATGGCTAATGTGGCGGGTCTGGAAAGATCCTGGGATGCCTTCTACATTGTGAATTGGGGAGATAACTGGACTTGGCAATATTAGACTGTTGTCAGCCAACAGTGGGCCAGTCTTAGCCTTGTTAGATCTGGTCTGGTTAGGGAAGGATAGGATCTTCCCCATGCACATTTCACCCAGCATCATTAGGGACCAACCACCTGGCCTCTCTGGACTCCAGTAATGCCCAGGGCATTCTGGGACATTTACATGGATTTGTGAGTATACAGGCTATACACACTGCTTCAAGAACTCCTGGCTGGCACACCAGCCCTCTCCTTCAAGAAAGGCTTCTGGTCCACATCCCCGCTCCTCTGTCCACTGTGCTTGCTCCTGTACTGCTATTCTGCACAGAAAAGTTCTGTAGACAGGACAGAGGGTTGAAGCTTCTCACAGAAGGCAAGGCAGGGGGCTAAGGGTAGCCCCTGCATCTCAGGTCAGTGTCTCAGAAAGCAAGCCCTTCAGCCTAAGGTAAGGCCCCAGAGAGAGATCCAAGAGCAGCCAGAGGAGAGGCAAAGCCCAGTGGGTTGAGGCAAGCAACTCCCAAAGACAGGTACTGGGGGTCCAGGGGACCTTGAGGAAGGGTCAGGCTAGGGACAGCTGCTGGCCACGACCTATCTACTAAGCTGGCTCTAATGCTGGCCTTTCTGAGCCACCTTATCCCCTAAGACAAGGGTCCTACTTCTATACTCTCTCTTCCCTGCCCAAATGGCTCACCTGCAGACCAGAGCCTGGCTATCTTGTCCCCTGAGTCCCCACCCCTTTCTCCTTCCTTGTTAGGGCTATAAGTGAATGCCATGGCCTGGGAAACTTATAAAGAGAAAGGTTTACTCAATGCAAGGACCTGGATTTATCCTGGTCAGGGGGCCACATCTGGTGTAGGTTTCCTTACTTATAATTCTACAGAGTCCCCATGGTATCATGTGGCAAGACAGAGCAAAGAGCCAGTATATGTCTCTCATCTTCCTTTGTTTGTATATGTTGTTTTGTTTTTGAGACAGAGCCTCATGAAGCCCTGGCAGGCCCTCAACTAGCTATGTGGCCAAGGATGACCTTGAGCCCCTTGATCCTCCTGCCTTTACCTCCCTTACCACACCTGGCTATTTCTCTCTTCTTAAAAAGCCACTAATGGCACCAGGCAGTGGTAGCACGCCTTTAATCCCAGCACTCGGGAGGCAGAAACAGGCAGATCTCTGAGTTCAAGGCCAGCCTGGTCTACAGAGAAAGTTCCAGGACAGTTAGAGCTATACAGAGAAACCCTGTCTCACAAAACTAAAATTTAAATAAAAAATAAAAAGCTACTAATGTTGGGGCTGGGCTATAGTTCAGTGGTAGAGTACTGCTAGCATATCCAAAGCTGAGTTCCATCCTGAACTCCCCGCAGAAAGGGGGGAGGAGAAACACTAATTCCATCATAAGGCTTCCATGACCTCCACTAATACTAATTATAGCCCAGAGACCAGTACCTCTAAATGCCACTTTACAGATTAAGATTTGTTGTTTTTTCTCATGCTGGAGATAGAATCCAGGGTCCTACAGGTGCTAGGCCAGCACCCTACCACAGTGTTATAATTAAACCATGCCCTTGCTTTTGTTTTAAGGTCAAACAAAGGGGACTGGGGAGATGGCTCAGTGGTTAAGAGCACTGGCTGCTCTTCCAGAGGACCTGGGTTCAGTTTCCAGTACCCACATGGCAGCTCACACCTGTAACTCCAGTTCCGGGTGATTTGACACCTTCAACCAATGCACATAAATTAAGATCAAACTAAGGCTGGCCTTGAACCTCTGGTACTCCTGCCTCCACCTGACTCCTGAGATTACAGGTGTGTCACTCATGTCCTGT